GCAGTGCTCCCTGCCAAATCTGGTGCTCACATATACCCCCTGCCCCAAGCTAGGACACTAAGCATGGGTAAATGCTGGGATGGGTAGACCTTGTGGGAGGAACCTTCCTTGGTGAACTCAGGGTCATGCTATTCTCACTCTCTAGGAACAGGGGATGAGAAGCTCATCTGGTTCCCTCCCCGCTGCTTGGCCACTATGCAAATGGGCCCACAGTGGGCTGAGATGATGATGTGGGATAGATGGCTCTCTGTGACCATCAACACCATCCTACCTGGGAAGGCAGGAGCAAGGAGCAGGGTGTAAAGGGGTTGGAGAGAGCAGGACAGAGGCTGTTAGGGTGCTCAATGCACTGAAGAGGGTTTCGTTGCATTGAGACTCTGCAGTTTATCCTCAGATGCCTTGTCAGGGAGCAGCACCTCCACAGTATAGCTGAGATTCTTGGCATGCAGCAGGCTGTAGGTGTTGTCAAAGCGCAGGACATCTGCAAAGACACGTCAGGCAGAGTGAGCCCAGCACATATGGACAGCTGGTGGCCCTGGAAATGGGCTGTCCAGGGCCTTGGGTGGGGCCTGAGGATCAGTCACTGCCCAGCCCCTAGCCCATTGCTCACTCCTACCTCCTTGGATGGTGCCTGTAGTACATAAAGGAATCATGAGACCCACTACATGCTGTGTCGCCCCTTTTAGCCACTAGGCATTACATCAGCCCTTCCAGCTTCCTGAATCCTCAGAATGACCTATGAGGAAGGTGCTGTCATTCTCATTGCTATGGATAAGTGTCTCCCAAAGGTCCACATGTTAAAGGCTTGATTCCCAGGGTGGTGCTACTGGGACATGATGGAATCTTTAGGAGGTGGGGCTTTGTGGATGTCCTTAGGCCATTGGGGGTACCCTTAAAGGGGATCATAGGACCCTATTCTCTCTCTCTCTCTCTCTCTTTTTTTTTTTTTTTTTTTTTTTGCATCCTGGCTTGTGATGTGAGTGGTTTTATTTCACAGTGTGCTCCCACCATGATTTGCCACCCACCAGAGATCCAAAGTAATGGGGTTGCTAGATCTTAGAGTGGAAACTGCCAGACCATGAGCTAAAGTAAACCTTTTCTCTTTATAAGTTAATTGCTTCAGGTATTTTGTTATAGTGACAGAAAGCTCATACATCCATTGTATGAATGAGGAAACTGAGACTTAGAGAGGTGATATGACTTTTCAGTGACCAGAGAGCAAGGGAGAGGAACTGTGACTCCCTTATCCCAATGGCTCAGCCCAAAGAGCAGCCCTACTTCCTCTGGAGGCAAGCACTAACTGAGCTACATGAGCAGCTTTTCCAGCTCACAGATGGAAGGCATTTCCTATAATGCCAAGGTCTAGCATGGACTTTGGGACATGGAATCATCCAGACTTCTCTTTCACCACCTTCCTAATACTCCCTTTCCTCAGGCTGCACTAGGTAATGTATTGGTTAAAGTTTTACTAACACAAATCCTCCTTCTTCACAGGAAATTGACCTTGTCTTCCCTCCCTCCTTGCTCTACTCACTATGAAAGTGGAAGGTGAGCAGTTTCTTGGTGCTATAGTTAGATTTTGAATGCCCCCTAAAAACCCATGTATTAAAGACTTGGTCCCCAGGATAGTGCTATTGGAAGCTATTGCAACCTTTAGGGGGTGTGGCCACTCCCCCATCTTTGGTCATTGGGACATGTCTTCAAAGGGGGTTGTGGGACCCTGTCTCTTCCTTTCTTCTTTTGCTCCTTGACTTATAAGCGATTTTGTTCTACTTCACGCTCCTGCCATGATGTGCTGCCTTGCCATAGGCTCAAATCAACGAGGTCCATTGATCATGGACTGGAACCTCCAAAACTGTGAAACAAAATAAATCTGTTCCCTTAAAAGTTCATTATCTCAGGTATTCTATTGTAGTAACAGGATGCTGACTAATATACTGTGCAGTACTGTTTCTGGTAAAATTAACCAAACTGCCTCTGTCCTGGGTGATCTGAGAACAAAGGATAAGCAGCTAGAGGAAGCCACCTTTTGGGGATTCCTGGAGCAGGGTGGTCCATGCAACTAGCGGTATGCCCATGGCTATTTACTCTCCTGCCTCAGCCTCTTATGGAGAGTTCCCAGGACTGAGCTCACAGCCCCAGACTCAGAACTCCAGCTCTTCCTCTGTAGTGAATCTCTGCCCTTGTATTCACATGTAGGGGCCACTTTTCAGATCTAAGATTCCAAAACCGACTCCCCTGGACCCTGTGGGACCTAAGAGCTTATAAGGTCCCCAACACACTCCCTGTGAGCTGGAAATAGTGGGCACACAGAAGGCTGGACTGGCAAGAGATGACCAGCTCTTTTCTCTGTCAGGAAGAGGACAATAACTCCAGTGAATCCTGCAGCTCTTACAGACACCAGCCTTGAAGCAGACGAGGCTCCCATCCTCAGGCACTAGGTGGGCATTGTAGCGCTGGCTGGGCAGCACCTCTGTCATCTCCCCAGCCCTCTGCCGCTCCCCCATCTTGGTCTTCAGGAAAACCCCAAAGCCAATGTCTCCACCATCCGATGCAAATTGCCACCTGCAACAGACAGAGCCCCACTGATGACCTCCTGCCCGGGCCCTGGAGCCTCTTCCAGTTGCACCCAGGTGTGGAGCAGTCGCTGTCCCTACCTGAGCACACAGCCTGGGAACAGGATCTCATTTTCCACATGCTGGGAGGAGCCACGGCCCACGGTCACTGTGTGCTCATACTGCATCCTCACCTGCTTGCACAGGTGGTAGCTCTTGGGCACCTCACCCCCGTAGTTGATCTGTGGGTGAAGGTGGGTGAGTAGACACTAGGCCACGATGGTCTCCCCTCTGTCCCCATCCTCTGGGCACTCCATACCTTAGTTATGCACTTGGGGTTGCCATCAGGGTCAGTCAGAGTCCCCCCAAACTCCACAGGCAGCTGGTCGGGGCTGATGAACTTTGACAGCTCCTGCTTCCAGTTGTCTATGTGGGAACAAGAGGGGGCCTCCAAGGGGCTCAGGGAGATCAATAGAGAGCCCAGGAAGGAGACATAGTATGTCCCTGGCTGTACCCTGGGCATCTATTCCTAAGAGTATCCAAGAGCTTATGTGGTTTCCAGGCCATTGGTCTAGGAGTCAAAGCCTTGCTTTTGTACACAGAAGCTGACTGGGTCACCCAGGGTCAGTGACTGAGTCAAGATGAGCCAGACAGAAATGGGGCCTTCAGCATTGACCTCTGCAGATGCAAAGAGGGTCTCTCCAGGAGACCAAGTCACTCACCTCCCAAAATCACTATCTTCTTGCGTGTCTCCTCACTCATGAACGATTTAACCAAGTTGAAGGCCACTGGGAAAAGTCTGGGGGCTGAAACACATAAAACTCCCTCAAGAAGCTGGACCAGAGAAGACACTGGTATATAAAGCCATGCCCAGGGGCATGTGCTAGACAAGATTTGGACAGATCTGGATTCTGCCACTCCCTGCTATGTGACCTTCAGCTAATAACTCACCTTCTCTGAGTCTTAGTGCTGTGAAATCATGTTATGGGTAAAACTTGGCACAGTAGCTGCCTCTCAATAAATGGCTGTATCCCCTATCCCAGTTGTAAGGGGTTGGGTCCAGTGTCAAAATTGACCCCAGTGGTGCCTCTGTGTACTTGTGATTTTTTTCAGGTGGCTTTGGGATCCTCTTTAGTACAAGTAGATAGGGCATCTGCTTTAGACTTCCTGTCTCATCCCAACTTGGTCCCTCTCACTGAGTACTTTCTGTGAATTGGGCTCTGTGCTGTCTTCTCCATAGAGTGTCTCATACCAGCTTTCTTTCATTGCCTCCTCATCCCACAGAATGAGAAAACTGAGTCTCAATGGTGTGAAACAGACTTAACTCAAAGTCACAGAACTAGTTAGATTCAACCCAGATCATCTGATTGCAGGCACCCATGGCAACCCCCTCCCTGCATGACCATTGAACACAGGGATCATTCCTGCTCAAAGAGTGTTCGTTAGTCAGCATGGTCCATGGACTGTTACCAATCTAGAATGAAGTAAGTAAGGAAAATAACAGCAAACACGGAGAAACTTAGAACTTATTCAACATTGCTGCAATATACCAGTGTAGGATTCTGCATGTTACAAAAGTATCAGTCTGCCCTACTGAAAGGCCTGGAACTCAGAATCCAAACAAACAAAAGAACCAGTTCTTCACAAAGGATGGTTTGAGAAGCCCTAAACTCAAAGGCTGACCTACTGTCCCTCTTACCCTGTTCCCCACTTCTCCCTCCCCAGAACCCATCCCAGACATGGGCTTACCTCGAACAACAATTAAATTCTTCATTGTCTCAGGATAATTTGCTTCCACCATGGCAAAAAACTGTGAAGTCAAGATGAGGCTGGTCACTGCCTTACCCCTCCATTTCTGTGGCCTCTGACACTGCTGAGACAAGAAGCCCACCCCTGGCCCCTCCTGACTTCCCCAGGAGTGTATGTTCCCTCCTCTGTGTTATTCTAGCTCCTGTCTCCCCTTGGAGGGTGGACTCCAGGTGAGCATGGCTGGCTGGTCTGTGGTGCCCCTGGAAGGCATCTCCACTTTCCCACAGACCAGAAGCTAGTGTGGACTGCAGCTCCCTATTAGCCTGGGAGCCACCGCCACTCCAGCCTCTGGCAGCACCTGCCTTACCTGCTGGTAGACCTCCACTGCCGGCTTCCACAGATGTTTCAAGCCCAGTCCCTCCATGTCAAACACCAACAGCACCATCTCAATCTTCCTACCCAGCTGCATAGATCAGAGCAGTTATACTGGTCAGACCATAGCTCCTGGAGAGCCTGGCCAGAGAGATTCAGGCACTTCTCCTGACCTCCCTGCCGCCCACACCCTTGGCATTTTACAAACATCTGTAGTTTCATGACTGTATTCAATCCAGAGCTATGCTTTTGGCAGGCGGTGTGGCCCTGGGTGGATTTTTTTTAGTTGTAGTGGGACACAATACCTTTAATTAATTAATTAATTTGTGGTGCTGGGGATTGAACCCAGGGCCTTTTGCATGGGAGGCAAGCACTCTCTCTACCAACTGAGCTACATCTCCAGCCCCAATACCTTTATTTTATTCATTTATTTGTATGTGGTGCTGAGGATCAAAACCAGCACCTCGCACGTGTTACGAGAGCGCTCTACCACTGAGCCACAACCCCAGCCCTCTGGGTGGATTTTTAACCACTCTGATTTTTAACCACTAGCTCTCTTTCTTTGTGAAATGGAGATAATTCTAGGTTCTGCTAGAATTGCTATGAAAATTCAGTAAAATGATGCATAAAGAACTCAGAGGCTGGCATTTGTATATAGTATCATCGTCATCATAATTATTGACTTCAATTGGGAGCCTCTATGGTCATGATGACGACACAGGACTTGCCCTTGTCATGTGGAGTCAGTCATTTGCCAAATCAGGCCACAGTGACATATCAGCTCCACCAGAGGAGACTTCTTAGCCTCGTTACTTATGTAAACACACAAAACCAACTAGGCCACATATGGCATTAGATTCAACCTAAAGGATACAGAGGATCAAAGAGCAGCTCAAGGCAAGGAGAAGAGATCTGCAAAGGAGGATGTGGAAGCCTTCTTGAATCAGAAGCTTCATGCCCCATAAAGCTCAATATTTGTGTTTCAGCAACTCCCGAGTAGCTTCAAAGGCCCCTCAGGGGATGCACCTAGTTTCAGGGTTACTGTTATCAGGGACGCTCACCCAATGGTGTTTGTTGTTATAAAATTTGTAATGGTGGGATATTGTTTCCATAAGCAAAGCTGAGTATCCACTGTTCTCAGAATTCCCAGAAGAATAGAGCTAGATCTTTATCTGCACCCAGATCAGCGTCTCATGTAGAGGCTTTGGTGACCCTAGACTGATGCAAGTATGATGTACACCTTGGATACTCACGGAGGGGGACAGCAGGAAGAGCTCATGTTTCACCAGACCTCTAAGTATGAGGGGTAGGGGGACAGGGTGTCATCCTTCCCTGGACCTGGGGCCCCAAACTGGACAGACTAGGTCCCCATGTGCCCCACCCCCACTCCCCAGTTGCTCACCTTTTGACTCTGCAGCTCACACTCCTGCAGAAGCAACTCAAAGGCCTTGATGCGTTTCCGGATCAGCTCCTGCTTGGAGGCTGACAGGAGAAGACCCTTGGGGTCGAGGGTCCCAATGATGTCAAACCACACAGGACAGCCTTCATAATCGTAGCCACACAGACCGCCCGAGTCATACCGCTGGATCACCTGGACACATGGGTAAGGCCCTGACTCAAACTGGCCCACTAGACCATGTCCCTGCTCCCTCAGGTGGTTGTGAGTTGGTGGACAGAGGGACATCAGATGGCCTAGGAGATGCTGCATGGGGCTCACCTCTGAGGGCTGCCATGAAAGGATATTGTCCAAGTCCTGTTGCTTCCGGAACTCCATGTGCTGCAGAGACATGAAAAGGCTTGCCCCCAAAGGCCTCTGCAGGCACCTAGGGACACCAGACCAGGTCTCTTTGCCCACAGCCACCAATGTCCTGTCAGAGCATCTGCAGGCTCCACTACACAGAACTATGAATAGGGACAGGAGGAGGGCTTGAAGGGGAGGGACCCAGGTCTGATGTAGACAGGAAGCTGAGGACGAAGACATTTGAGAATGGGCACACTTTCTCACTGACTACTCGGGGAACAGCCTGCAGGAAACAGGACCCTAGGGATGATGGGTCCTCACCTTCCGGAGCATGTCCTCTGACTTCTGCAGGTCGAAGTTCCGAGCTGAAAGAAGAATGAGGGAAGAGGCTGGAGGCCAGATGGAGAATAAGCTGCTTTCTGAAAGCTCGTGAGGACATGATGGGGGTGTTCCCAACCTTTTCCTGACACTCCAAGAATACTCTGGGGTCTGGAAATGTTTTCTTTTCTTTTCCTTAAGCAAGGATCTTTACTCCTCTGGAAGACACTGGAGGGCCCTTGATTTCTGTTTCCAGGCCTTTGAAAACTTTGAAATCTAGAAGTCAATCTAGCCTGCAATAGTTGGCATCCTCCAAGGAGCTGAGACCCACAGTATTAAGGTGCTAAGAAGCATGGGATTTGCAATCAGACAGACTTGGGCTTGAATTCTAGTTTTGTCTTTTTTGTTTCCTATGCAACCTGGAACAAGCCATTTACCTTCTCTGAGCTTTATTTTAAAAATATGTTAAATAGGAATAATAATTTGTTTAGTAATTCAAAGGAAAGTGTGAGATAAAGTAGATAAAGTGCTTGGCATAATACCTAGCTCACAGGAGGTTCTCACTTTTTTTGTGTGTGCTAGGGATTGAACCCAGGTGCTCATACATACAAGGCAAGCACTCTACCACCGAGCTATGTTCCCAGTCCACAGTTAAATTCTCAATAAAGAGTAGCTATTGCTGTGATTACTTATTTTGAAGAAATTGTTATATTTTAATAAAAAATGTTATGCTCTATTTGATTTAATTAATTTTTGGAGACAAGCTATGTTACCCAGATTGACCCTGAACTCCTGGGCTCAGCATCCCAAGTGTCTAGGGCCACAGGTACATGCCACCACACCCAACTATGTTCTATTTTAGAAATGCCATGACCATTGCTCTCTAAGACCACTGTCTCACTGTTGAATTTGTTCATTGATGGAGCTGCTCTGAGATGCAAGATTAGAGATTTTCAAATGGAAAGGGCCTGATATCACCCAGAATTCCTCTGCCCTAATCATGAACCACCTCCAGCAATAACCATTGAGGCCACTAGCTCAATTCTGATTATCTCCCATAATGTACCGTTCATTGCCTAAACAGACAAATAGCCCACAGCTCTTTTTAAGTACTGGAGATTGAAGCCAGAGGCACTTTACCACTGAGTGTGCCCTAGCTCTCTTCTTTTAATTAATTCATCTATTTATTGAGATAAGGGCTCACTAAGTTGCTGAGTGTGGCCTTGAACTTTCATCCTCCTGTCTCAGCCTCCCAAATTGCTGAGATTACAGGCTGGTGCCACTGCTTCTGGCTCCTCAGCAGCTTTGACTGAGGCTAAATCTGCCACACAAATGATCCTAGTCCCATTTTCAGAGGTCATATATATGTTTGTCAATGGAAATCTGTGCAAATATATCAAGAGGAGCTATCAAGTGTAAATTTTTTTTTACACTTGTAAAAAATATTTTCTCCCAGTTATATATTTATTTAAAAATCACCTCTGTGTCAGTGATGTTCAACAGAACTTTCTATAATGATGGGAAATGTCCTATCTTTGGTTAGTATGACAGAAGATCTCAAGTTTTAGTTTGGCTTAATTTAAATTTTAATAATTATATGTGCTTAGAGGCTACTGAACTGAACAGAGCAGTTATATATACTTCAATGATTTTAAGATTTTTTTCATATATAGATCTTCTGTGCTCCAGGTTAAATGTCTTGTTATTTTATAAGCTTTGTTGTTACTTGGAATAATATACATTTTTGCATGATATTTTACAATTGGTTGCAGCCACAGAAAAAAAATACTATTGAATTTTGTATCTGGAAATGTGGTTAAGCTTTCTCTTTAGATCTAGAGTTTTTCTGTTGATCCTGTGGTTTTCAAGGGAGATATGTAATGAATCTGAAAAACTTTTAACTCTTTCCTTCCAGACTTTAAACTACTGATTATTTTTTCTTTTCTTATAGCATTAGCAAAAGTCTCTAGTTCTGTTTAAATCATAATGTTCACTGGTGTCATCCTCTCCTTGTTTTGGATCTTAAAGGAAATGTATCTAAAATTTACCCTTATTCATAACATTTGTTGGGGATTTGTGCTATGTTACCATTACTACCAAGTTAAGGAAATTCCCTTCTATTCCTAGTTTGTAAGAATTGTTTGTTTTTGTTTTTGGGTGCTAGAGATTGAACCCAGAGCCCTGTGCATCCTAGGCAAGCATTCTACCACTCTCCAGTCCCCAAGACATTTGTCTTATAAATAGGATTTGAACTTTTTCAAATGCTTCTTCTGTGTTAATTGAGATAGCCATATGATTTTTCATTTCTAAATCTATTAATGATTTCAATGACACTGATAGATTTTTTTAATGTTGAACTATTCTTGCAGACCTAAGATAAATTCTTCTTGGTGATGTCACATAATTTTAATACGCTAATGGATTCTATTATGTAATATTTTATTTATATTTATTACTATATTAACAAGTAAAACAGGTATAGACTTCCTCTTTTTTGTTTTAATTGTTCTTATCTATATTTGAAATAATACTCAAGACTCATAAGGAAAAAACCTCATTCTTGGGGCTGGGGATGTGGCTCAAGTGGTAGTGCGCTCGCCTGGCATGCACGGGGTGCTGGGTTTGATCCTCAGCACCACATAAAAATAAAATAAGAGATGTTGTGTCCACTGAAAACTGAAAAATAAATATTAAAAAATTCTCTCTCTCTCTTTAAAGAAAAGAAAAAGCCTCATTCTTTCATATATCCTAAAACAATTCATATAAGATAGTAATTAACCAGTCTTTAAAATTTTGGAAGAATTTTCCTATAAAGCCTGGAGTTTGAGTTTTGGGGGAGTAGAGGTTTTTACTACCTTTTCCATTTCTTTCTTTCGTTTTATTTTTCTTCTTCTTAATTTTTTCAGTGTTGAGGATCAAACCCAGGGCCTCTAACAGGCTGAGCATGTGTTCTACCACTGTGCTATATCCATAGCCCCTCAATTTCTTTAAATTTATTAGTTTGTCATTTTCTATTTCTTCATGCTGGATTTTAGCCCTATATATTTTTTCCTAGAAATTCATCTATTTCATCTATATTTTTAAATTTACTAGTACATAATTATTCATAATATTATTCTATTATCTGTTGGGGGTTCTTATCCTATAAACAGTGCTTTGGGTGCTGATGATGGGATATGAGGATAGAGTTTTTAGTTGTACCTACTATGTGCCAGACTAAGGGGACCAGGGCAGGCATAGATACTGCCCTTATGGGGCTGGAGGTGACTGGGAGAAACAGACACTTATGAAGAATGGAGATAAAGAAACAGAGGGGAAGGACATCAGAAGGAGGTTTAGGGAA